TGCACCTTTTGGCAGTTGGCCATAAGTTTTCCCCGCACTTCCCAGCCCACGCAATCCCAAGCACATCTCTGTCCTTGTATACACTGCGCTCAACTCCAACACACACTCTAAGGAGTTTGGAAGCCACTGAAAGTAGTTTAAACAACTCAACCAAGTGGTCGCAAGCGACACACGCGTATTGAGAAAATACCCTTGGGTTTTGAACAGTGCCGGCCTTGAGTCATCAAATATTAAGAGATATAATTCTTTTACACAGTTCATGAACAAATTAAGATCTGAAGGCTTAAATACCCATATGAGGACATTCTAAACCTGAATTACTTAATTTAAATGTTGATTTAGTCATGCATAATTATCATTTAAGGACCGGACCGCCATGTTAGAATTTATACAAACTGAACATTGCATAAATTATATTGCTTATAAATCTTTTTAATTAAGTGTTTAGGCATCATTAGCTCGAAATTAATTAGATAACTTAATTATTTAACATTACGTAGTGCCGTGTTGTTTAGTTTTATATACAGTAAAACGGTCAAATAAACCAATAATTCATTCATTCGTTTTGTACACGAATATATTTGTATTTGATCATGAGACAACATTAGAACGTCATCACATGCACAGTTAATCACCAACGCGTCTTGCCAAAAGTGATAATATTTGTCATTGCAACAATTAATTGCTTAATTTTACCAATACTTCAGGGCTTTAAAAGTACAGTTCAGCAATCCAATTGGCATATATTTTCAATACTTTTACCCCAAAATCCTAACGAAGGCCATGAAAGTGCGTTTCAGCGACCTCCAATTTTTATTTGATTTGTGTTTTGGGTCATGCATTTTCCTTTATAATGATCGATTAATTATCTAACGACGGCGAGCTTGCTACAAATTGATCACGTTATATAATACATGATCATGCATGATCATTAGCCCAATTCTTATCTTTCTAGCTTTTTAATATTTTACTTTCACTGTGAAATCAATTGATGTAATTGTGTCTTACAGTATAGCATGTTCTACCTACTTATGATTTTTGTATATTATACCTACTTATGATTTTATCTACCATAAATACAATTACTTAGATTACGACGAATGCTCTTGGCTCAAGTTCGGTTATGACCCATGCGAAGGAAATGGCACCTGCAACAACACATATGGATCCTTCGACTGTGCTTAATATAAATGTTTTTGGAGAAGCTAAAATAATAATGGTGGGTTTTAATTTTTGTTTTATTAGGCTATCGAGATTTAGTGGCATATACGATTGGATTATGGCGTTTATTTTTGCCTATTATAAATAACTACTCCTAACCTGTAATTTATTAGGAGATTTATGACCAATAATTAATAGTAATATCCGTGCCTAAATTAACAGGAATAAGGAAAGAAACATTTACAATCTCAAGGAATATCTTTAAGAGGATATGTTATTTTACTGATTACTGAACAGGCTGAGACTACAGCGAAATTTATGCACAACGTTCATTTTATTTGTAAAGAGTATAGGAAATGTGTTGAAAGAGTAAATTAGATAAAATTGCTTCTTTAAAAAAATGACAAACTTACCAAATCATCTTCTTTTTTACCACAATCATGCAGTATTTCACATTTCGCTCATTTAACATATAGGCAAAATTAACTGTTTTTACCGTAAGATTGTTTTGACAGTAACCTTTCTGATTCAACGTTTCGACTTTATTTAGTCATCATCACGAATGAATGAATGACCAAATACAAATATTCCTGATGATGACTAAATAAAGTCGAAACGTTGAATCAAAAATATTGTCTTTATTCGGAGTTACCGTCGTGAGTTGTGTATTTCATTAAAATGCTCTGTCAGTGGTTCCCGCAATTAGTAAACTTTCCGCTTTCGTATTTTAATCCAATAGGATCAACAAGCCCATTCTTTCAGTGACCATTAAAATGTTTTCATCCCTCCTCAAAAACATCCACATTGTAGCATCTCATAAGTAATAACCATGCATGTGCTACTTCTGTCAGTCTATGCATGCATGGTTTTGTTTAATTAATAGGGAGTTGAAGTGTCGCGTTCATGGCTAACGACAAGCGGCATGGGAAAAAATACGCTATATATATATGGCAATAAAGAGTAAATGTACCTGCTACTTTAAAACTGTTTTATGCACAACAATTCTTGTGACCTAACAAAGAAATTTAACGAAATGTCTGGCAAGAAAATTCGGCACTGCATGCCGTTTGCCGTTGCCCGGAAACGTGAAGCTTAAACTCACTACTATTGAGCAACGTATATTTTGTGTAGGTGACTTTGATTCAATTTGCAAGAAAATTACTAGAAGATAATGAAGGAAATATGTAGGCTAAATTATTCAGGCATATACTGTAAAGTCTTAAGTAAATAAAATCCAAAATGAAAAATTGTCAATGGTGTGAAATTAAATTCTAATGTTAATGAAACAACAGCCCTTTTCCTGGCAAATAGTCTTTGCGTCGCCTGAAGTCTGCAGTTTTATCTTGCGGAAGCCATTTTAGAAAACACATGGCCGAAATGTTTGGAAAAGATCAATAATGAGCTTGAAAGGTTCACAAAGCTCATAGAATTGTGTGCGCATTAGAAAAATATAACCGTAAAGATGTTTAATCAGAAGACGAAAGAAGTTGTTTGGGTGGATGAGACAAGATATTTTATTACAACCCCCCCCCCCCCCCCC